GTCTCTTGTAGATATTTGCATAATTTCTTGTAGTTCAATTTAATCCATACCTTGAGATATGAAATCCTGGATTCCCACTCTCCACAGCATAAATCACTACTAGTTTTTCTATTTCTTATAAATATACCGTTCCCTTTTATGTTAGTTAAGGTTTATTAAGCCAACCTGGCCAATAAACACATATGGGATTAATTGAAGGGCAGAGAGATAAATGACTTGGTGAGCCTCACCTTTCTTGTTCTCTGGTCTCTTGTTCTCTGATGGTCAGACCAGTGTGTGGCTGCCTTAGCTAGTTCCTTATTTCAGCTGGCAAGGCCCACTTCCTGCGAGACATCCCTGAGGAGAAGCCACATGGACCTACCCCAATGCAGCCCTGAGTGCTGGGGCAGCCGTGTGGAGACCCCTGCCAGCTCCGAGATGCTTACACACTCACTGATTTGCCTTTCTTCCTGCAGTCAGCATCATTCCGCATGTTTTGCAAGTTTGAGGAGGACTTTGTAGATCAGTGTCAAACATAGAGGCTAATGTCAGATTTATGGGTTTGGAATGGACTGAGTTGCGATGCTTTCTTAATGTACACTTACCTATTATATAAAACTCTCTCTTATATACATATGGGTGTCTGTGGATTTGTTTCTCTAGTCTACCCAGACTAACAAACTCTTATTCTGCAATGTTGTGGTATATATGAATGTCCCTGCCCATTTTGTTTGCCTGGGAAATCCTACCTCTTTTCTTTTATCTTTAAGTAAACACTGGAAACTGAAAGAAAAAGGAAATATAAAGTTTTTTCAGACTTTTTATCTGTTTGCACATTTTATTCACAAAGATAAACATGTATTTATTTATTTCTCATAGCCATTTTATTGGGAATTAATGCAGATATCAAATCATTCCATACTTCAATCACATCAGTCAGTATTGTACTATTGCTACCACAATCATTATCAAATATTCTTTTCCTTCGTGAACTCCTTGACATCAGTTCCCTTTTATACTCCACCCCATCACTAAGTTAAATTTATTTTATTAAACTTGGTATATGTGTAGAATATCATTTTGGCATATAACATATATTTTTTAACTTAAAATGTAATCATATAGTAGAATACAAAAAAATTAAAGTGACAAACTAGTACCTTTTAATTGTATTAGTATATTCATGAAAAGAAAATGGAAACTGTATAACCACATAGTGTTCTGTCACAACCTCCAATAACACATCACTTTTGTTCTCAAGCCTTGACATCCTGAAATTTGTCAATAACTACAACAAAGGTTGATCTCATATTTATATTTACTAGCGAGTAAGGTGGATTCTTCTAATTTTTTCCTCACTTGTAATTGACTGAAGGGCACTTTTAATTCATTTTAATGTTAAGCTTCGTTCACCAGAGGCACCTAGAAAGTTTCTTAAATTTAAGAATAAATTTGGCAGAGATTCAGTCACAGTAACTTCCAAAACCTTGACACTTTATCTTTGTTTCTTCAGGCTATATGCTAGTGAAATTTTGATGTTTTGCTTTTTAAGACTCTAAGGACCAAATCAGGATATAGGACCTGTAGGATCTGAGCTATGCCACACTAACTGACCTTGATTTGGGTCTTGAACCCCATGACTCAGCATCTAATTCCTTCAAAGTGAGTGGTCATGGCTGAGAAGTTTTTGTAGCCTTTTCCTCTAAAGGGTGCTTGTTAGGAGCAGATGAGTCAGTCTTACTCACAGCGACCCCGTGTCCCTCAGCAGGACACATCACCAGGTCCTGCGTCATCTCACCAGAGAACTGTTTGTGCCCCTTGTTGCAGGTGCTGAGTTCATCCATTTCGTCAAGGGTCTTCCTCTTTTATACAGCCCCTCTGCTGTAGCAAGCATGGTACCCTTGTGGCATGGATGTTCTACCATATTTGAGCATACATATTCTAGAGAAGTCTCCTGCCTATCTAAATTCATGGGCATCATTTCATGCTCCTTTCTACACCTGCTCAGCTCAATGTCTAGCTCTGCATCTACTTGCAGATGACTGTTATCGAAAGTTTGTGTATGTATTTCTGACCTCTATTGTCTTTAGCTCTTGTTCTCCTCCCCATGTCTTCCTTCACTTTATCATATGCCTTCCCCTTCACTCACAGTCAGACATGTCTTGTTGGTAATTTCCCTTCTGTTCCCCCCTTGTCCCTTGTAACCATCAAAGAGTGTTTCTTTTTGTATGAAAATCTGGACCGGACTTTTCATAACAGGGTCTTATCTGACCATTGTCCTTTGGTGATTGACTTATTTCAGTTAGCATAATTGAAAGGTTGGTGGTTTGAATTCATCTGACAGTTTCATGAGAGAAAGATCTGTTGGCCTGTTTCTATAAAGATTCCAGCCTAGGACACCCTATGGGGCAGATCTTCTCTGCCAGGTAGGATCACTATCAGCGGAAATTGGACTCACCAGTACCCAACAACACACACATTATACACATGGATTTATATACTAACTTTATATATTATATATATTATACTAGTCGACTTCAAGAGTTCATGGAAAAATAGAATTAAAGGATTTTTCCATGACATTTTCGAAGCTACCTCTTTGTCTACTCAATTCACTGCAATTGAGTCACGTCTGATTCATGGCGACCCTTACAGGACAGGGCTAGAACTGCCCCTTGAGGTTCTGAGACTGTACTTCTGGGCATAGAATGCCCCACCTATCTCCCTCGGATTGCCTGGTGGTTTCCAACTACAAACCACAACTCCCCCCTGTAACCACTAGGCCACCAGGGCTCATCCGAAACCACGTGTGGTCTATGTGGACTCATGGTAAACCCCTGTGTGTCAGAATAGAACTGACCACCATAGTTGGTTTTTTCTACAGAAAATCATTAGGCCCTTTTTCGGAAGCATCTCTGAATAGTTTCAAACTGAAAAACTTTCATTTGAGCACTTAATCATTGCACCATCAGGAATGTGTGTGTGTTTGTGTACATATGATACCTGCAAACACATCCATGTATAACATTTATTTCTTAATTTACTTAACCAAATCATGTAAATTTAAACTGTTTGGCAACTCCTTCCTTTGCTTCAGTGAATATTTTCAGAGGTTCTTTCATATTGTCTGCATGTGGATTCCATTTCTCTAATTTTCCTACCTATTGCAGTTGGTACCCATGACTACTGTTCCCAGAGATCGAGTCATGGAAAAGATATGTGTGAGGTGAGTGTGCACGAAGCAGGCAGATCCCTGAGTGCATCTCCCAGGTCATTTTCTCAACCAGCGCTGCTGGAATAAAAACCAGCCACGGTCAATTCCCTTACTACCTTCCTTCTACAAAATGCTGATTGTCTGTTTACCCCCTCACAGATTCTGCCTAGGAATCTTGCCTTACCCTTTGTGGAAGTCTCCAGGAGCTTGGGGCTCCCTCCCATCTTGGTTCACTCAGACTTGGTGCTCACAAACTGGGCTCGACGAGATCCAGAAGGGTAAGGAGGGGGAGTATGGTCCCCATTGAAACAGACCGAAACTCAGCAGGCTTAGGAACTGTGCTATTCCAACAGGAAACGACATGAAGGTCTTTTGTTTGTTTGTTTTTGTTTTCAGCTGTTTTGTGATTAGGAGTGTTTATAGTTATCATTTGTTTTATAATTTCAAAAAAGAAGATGCACCCAAACACAAATTCAAAAATGATAAGCTCCAGAAGGTTTCCTTCCATCCACTCTGAACACATTAGCTGTAGTTTGCTGCCATTATCAGTCTTAATTTCTCAATCTGAGTTTCAAGTTCTAGAATAATCAGGCCTTTCTCAGGCTTTCTTTCCAAACCTTTTACTTTTCCCTAACACGTGGACTTCATTCAAATCAAATCTGCCGGGATTTTCCTAAGTGATCACAATGTAGTGTCAGGATAAATAACTGCATGACTTTGAAGTAATGAACAAGGGATACAGGATGGAGAGTGAGATTAATAAAGCCTATTCCAATGAGCTGTTACTATTCCCTTAACAATGGAACAGGGAGTAGGGGCATCTGTCTATAAGATAAATAGTGTGATGAATTTTAACAAGCAGGATTTCAATCAATTATGAGAAATGACGAAAAGCATTGACATGTGGCATTTCCCACTGATCTCCATTTTCACTGCCAAATTTGTTTTAGACGGTTGTAGTCAAGAGGGCTAAAAGGATCCACATGTTGTTTCCATGTGAAAAGCTTCGCTAGCATATGAGTTTTGAGTAAACGCAGGACTGCCAGAGAAAATGAGGAATACCCTTTTAAGAAGTAATAACTCAAGAGATCTCTTAGAGGCTGTAAGAGCAGACCAGCTCGCAGCTCTTAAGGACCTCTGAGTCCTGGGATTTTATGTTTTCTATCATTTTAAATTATGGTCTTTGATTAACTCTACTTTCATGACAAATGTATGACTGTGGTTCCCAAAGTACTCTCAGGCCCACTAAGTACAAGGTCAGCAGCTTGAAACCACGAGCTGCTCTAAGGGGAAACAGGTGAGGCTGTCTACTGCTACAAAGTTTGTCTTAGAAACTCCCAAGGGAATTTCCCCCCTGTATGAGAGGGTGGGGCTCTCTGGGTTGGAGTCTGCATAGCTGTGTGAGTTACGTTTTGAGTTCCCCATGTAAACCTGCTCACTTTGGCTCAGAATACAGATGTTAAGAAATAACTTAGGAACCAATAATCAGTCACGATTCTAGTTAAAAGCATTGTATAGTGAATAAACTGGATTTCTGTTCCAAAGAGAAAACGGGAGATGGAAAGTTTGAAAAAGGAAAATAGCAGCAAAGTGAAATATATGACAGTGCTAGTAAACTAGTAAAACAAACAGATTTTAAAAACTCAATGCCAAGGAGTCAAATCCAAGTTACATTGCTCCAGTGCTGGGTTCCTAAGACTAGAAATCTTGAAGGGAGGAGCAGGCGGCCTCTTCTTTGTCTTGCTGGGCAGCTGGTGGGTATGAACGGGGGACTTTATGGTTAGCAGTCCAGTTCCTAACCCAGAGCACCAGCAGGGCCCCTAGTACCCTCCTAAGGTAGAGCAGAAACAAAAACGGAAACCTATCGATGTCAATCCAATTCTGCCTCCTAGCGACCCTATAGGACGGCAGACTTGCCCAAGGCTCTGTGCATTCACAGAAGTAGCCGCCCACATTCTTTTCTGCCGCAGACAAGGGGCTGGTTTCCACAGTCCAGGTAGCTTTAGCAAGTACCCCCCAGGCCTCCAGCACCAGTTACTTCCGGGAGGGCAGCTCCAAAGGCTGCAATCTTACCAGCTGACCTTCTCAGTGATTTCTTTTTCGGACTCTTTCGATATGCCTGACGCCGAGCTAAGTGAAATGCGGAACTGAAAGCGAGAGAAGCAGTCTCCCCAGTGCGGCTGACTGAAACAGCAGGGCATGACAAAGCGCAAGACACACAATCCGCCCTTTGGCATTTCAGAGAAATTTCATCAAGGCAGGCTTGAAATGTCGGGGAAAAACTGTGGAGGGAGGGGAACTTGATCTTAGGGAAAGTCCCAACAGCTGAATAGGGCGATCGTGCCTGTGACGTTCAACGTGGGTTTGCGGAGATTACAAACAAGGGAGAGAAGCGGGCCACCAGCCAAATGTTCTGGGACTGATTTGTGAGTTGACATTTGACTGACGGACCAACCCCAGACAAAGGATGGACATGCTTAGCTGCTAACTGAAAAGCCGGAGGTTTGAGTCCACCAAGAGGCACTCTGAGGAACACCAGTGATCCATTTGAACAGAGCAGTCAGTCATTCAAAACCCTATGAAGTGCAGATCTACCCAGGTACACATGGGGTCACCAGATATTGGAATTTGCTCAAAGGTTTTATATATATATAGTCTCAATCTTACATAGAATCGCCCATACTGACAGTCTAATCAAAACCTGTGAATGGTGGTCAAAGTGCATCAAACCATGTATGTGTGAGCATGAGTGAGTGTGTGTGTGTGTGTGTGTGCGTGTGCGCGCGCGCGCGCGCGCGCGCGTCTGCCAGTGACTTATCTGATTTACAAACTGAACTGTACTTGTATTTTTTTTTCCTCTTTGTGGCTGCTGAAAACTGAACTCTGACTAGTCCCCTGGAAATCAGGTAAGTTCCCCCTCAGTGATTTGCACACTTGGAAGCTAGGTCGATCCGGGAAAGGGGAGGATCATCGGGGACAAAAGAAGAGATGGTGCAAAAGGGGGGAGGGGCAGGGCACAATAATGAAAAGTTTGATAAACTGTTAAAGTTATAAAATAAAAATTTAAAGATCTGATGTGTTAGCTCCCACCTTAATCACAATAAAAGTAAAAAAAACAAACAAAAACACACCAAGCCCTAAATACCCGATTCTATGTACAATACAGGGTGGGGGGAAAAAATGAATGGGAAAAAAAAAAACACAAAAAAAAAACTGGAGGAGAATATGGCAAAATTAGCTATCCAAAAATTTAACAGTGGTTGCCTCTGCCTGGCATGGATTTTATATAAATATATATTTCTTTTTTATATTTTTCAATCTGTGCCTAACAGAGCAAACAACTTCTCTGTGACTCATTAAAGTTTAATAGTCTGAGGAGGATCTTTCTTCCTAACATAACTATCCTGAAAGGTCAAATAGTAGGCAGTGGTTGCTATAGCTACAGAAGATTCCTTTTTTTTAAATAATGTAACCTAATCTTACAGAGATCTGGAGATCCTGCAGGGCAAGTCTGACCTGAATGGTTTTTGACTACTTTTTCCCTGGAGAACAAAGTTAGCTTCTAAGTCAATGTTGCCTTTCCCATTACAAATCCTGAGCTCAATAAAAGCATTCAGGGTTTGAGTTCCCGCCCAGGAGCAGAGGGATGCGTGTCCATGCTAATATAACTTTGGCGAAACCAGGATACCTGGTGTCATTCGTAACGTACTTGTTTTGTTGCATTTTTTCTTTCTCTTCTAATGCTTAAAATATCCAGGCATGGCCTCTTTCTCTAGGGATTGGGCCCTTCTGATGGACAGTCTTAACGCTTGTTGTGATGCCTGTGTGTTGCTGGGATGCTATGAGCTATGCCACCAGTATTTCAGATAACATCGGGGTCACCCAAGTGGACAGGTTTCAACAGAGCTTTTAGACTAAGGTCGACCAAGAAGGAGGACTTGGAAATTTTCTTCTTACAAAAAGAGCCCATGTCCCTGCTCGATGCTCGCTCTCACTGCAGACAGGGGTGCTGTAGCAAAGTGTGGTGAAGAAACCAAAGGGTGCCCGGCTATCCGAAAGAATAGCAGCCAAGGTCATAAAGGCTTGTCCGCAAGCAAGCAGCCTTCTAAGTAATGGAAGTCCATTAAGAAGAAGCATACCAGCCTGTGTGGTAGAAGGCTTGTAAATAATAAAATCCAAATCCAAAGTAGAGTATGATATCAGAGCTTAAATTATGATCAAACTATTTACAAAAGGGTATGGATGCCTGTGGAAGCCCCAACTCCATTTTCAGAGACCCACATGGATGAAGCCTCTGGGAAACCCCTCTGAACATAGTCCAGGCATGTGAACAGCCTTGCTGTCAGACAGAGAACACTGTAAAATGGATTATCAGATGGAGTTAGATTAAAATGTAATAGCTTATCATTTCATCTCCCCTTTGATGTATCTTAAGTTGTTTCAGTTTTTGGTATTTTCTGCTTTTTTTCATTAAGGTTTGCCTAGGCTTTGACTAATCATTGCTTTTTGTTTGCCTCCTGTTGATGTTTTATATGATTTTCTGTATATGAAATCCAGGATAGATAGATCTATGAGACAGTAACGGCATTGACAATGGCTTAGGGTTCTCACAAGGGAGGACAGGAGCAAACTGGGAGTTAACACAAGTTTGAGAAGAAAATGGTCTGAAATTGATTGCAATGATGATTGCACAAATCTTAATACAACTGAAAGAATAAACTGTATGATGTGTGAAGTATATGCCGATAAGGCGACTTAAACATAAAATGAAAAAACTATTTAAACATATTAGAGACAGAAGTGATCTAAAGAAGTAAGCTTTTAGGTTTTTAGATATGATCTACATTTGGGCTATTTGAATCTACACGATACAGGTCCCATAAAAAATGGTCTTTCTGTACCAATCTTCTAACACTCACTTTAGTATATAACATTTCATGAAACTTCATACCAGACCTGAGCCTGACTAACCAGATGAATGACCTTTGGCAGCTGTCAGGCTGATCTGTCATCTATAACGGAGAATGTGAAGCTGGCTATTGCCTGGAACACTCTGTCTGTAAGACTCTTTGGCTCCTGCTGAGAATATTGTGATGGCCCATCCAGTCGGCCCTAGGAGAATATGCCGTATATGTGACGAAGCACTGAGCCTCCCTCCCAGACCATGTTGCAACCAGAATCCCCTTCGGGGAAGCGTCCTGGTCTGAGGACATCAGGGCCATGATGAACTTTGAGGTTTCTTCGAGTAGGTGAATTTGAACTTTCACTGATTGAATCTCTCTTCCTTGATGAAAGCGTTTGTTCATTCTTAAGGTTGGTTGGTTGCTATATGGAAAGGAAACATTGTTTGCAGGGTTTCCCTTGCTGGTAAAAACCAAGTTGGTAGGGAGATATGGGCAAAGAGTACCCCCAGTGCAGGCTGCAAGCTTCTCACCAGGTCATGTCTTTCCCAAGGAACCTGGACACGATCATTTCATTTCCTGGCGGAGAGAGCCTGCGTGGTTTTGTGCTAGTGACGGTTTTGGTGGAGAAAGCAGCTGTGCCTGGGATTAAGGTAGCTTTCATTACATCACACATTTTTTAAAATGAGAAAATAATTGAAGATCTTCCACCCAGTCACTAGACTTCTCAGTACAGAAGGGCATAGACCTTATTTTAACTCTGAGAAAAGAAAATGAATTCCAGCCTATAACAATGTCTCTTTCTCTTTCCTCAATTTCAGTGAAATTTGGAATTGATCATTTGTCCATTAAGAAAGCAGGCATTGGGCGGGCCATGAGGATTTCAGAATGAATAAAATAGACAGTTTCAAGTCCCACAGAAGCTTACGAGACAGTGAAAGGAGAGGGATTTTCATATATGTTAGCTTAAAAATAAAAAGAATAGAGGACATCATTGTTTCACCAAACTCACTGCACTCAACCGGAACAGGGTAGAACTAGCCCTGTGGATTTTTGAGACGGCAAATCTTTACAGGGGTAGAAAGCCTTGATTGGTTTTTTTCCCCCTCAGAGTGTCTGGTAGTTTCGAACTGCTGACCTTGTGGATAGCAACGCAGTGCATAACCAGGGTGACCTCTTTCGCTAAGGCATACCTAAAGCCCAGTCCAGATTTAGAGGGTCAGACTAACTGTTGTATAGAAATGATCTCCTGAGAGAGAAGGAAGGGAGGGGGTGGGAGGTAGGATAAGGAAAGATGATAATGAGCAAGGAAGAGAGGAGAGGGGAGAAGAGAAGTATATTCCAGACAGGACAAACTGCTCTGCTCAGAAAAGTATTTAGAGCTGGAATACATCTTTGAGAGCGAATCTAGCCCTGTTGGGTTGCAAATGAATTCTTTCAGGAATCAGACACATGTAACGCCAAAGACAGGGAGTGGAAGGACTACAGATTGACGAGAGACTTCGTGCTGTGCCGTAAGAGAATGAAATTAGCTTTGTACGACACCACCGAGGGGCTTTCCCTGCAAAGCTTGTTGCAAAGCTGCTTTTGAGTTCTCACGAAGACGGCCAGTTCTCTTTCACTTTCAAAAGTGAAACCACGTGGTCACTATAGGCCTTATCCAGGGGAAGTCGGTGGGAAGATACCAGCTGGAACTTCCGCTTTCTGAATGTGGTTCAGATAAGGGAGAGGTTTTGGGTGACAAACTTCCTGCAGAAGACCTTAGCTAGACCCCCCAATCTGTCAATAAAATAGAATTTAGGAGTGTGAGTGCTGTGGTAAAAGAAGCAAACATAGAAATCAGAATTTAGACCAAGAATCATTTAGGCCCCACATAGTGGCAAAAGTAACCATCGATGGAATATGGAAAATAACCCAGGTGGGCATTTACCTGGGAAGTGCTCAGAGAGGATGTGCTCCGGCTTTTAGATCCCACAACAGGTAGAGATCAGGAGTGATCCCAGGCACTCCAACACACAGCCCAGAAGTCCTTGTCCCTGTGCTGGGTCCCCACAGTTCTGGGACATCCTCTGCCTCTCCGTGGGCACTAAAGGAATTACGCGAACTGACACTATCCATGTCGACTGCAGGCAATTGTTCAAGCAGGGAGTGCCATCCTGCAGCCCAACCAGGACTGTCTGCTCCGCGCACTGCAGCGACTGCGACTCTCCATTCAGGACATCGCCAGAGCCTTGGCACAGATGCATGGTACTATGTTCGCTGTGGGATTTGCGTTTCCCGAAGCCTTTGCCCCAAAACCCAATGTCTGATTAGGGAATAGCCTAACCGGCCGATGATGCATTTCTCCAGCAGGTGGCGCTAGGGCATGATCTTTTTAAAAATTTAAAAAAATAATTTGCTTTCTTGCTTTGCAAAGATATTTCATGTTTTAGTCTTCCGAATTTTCTCATGGTTGGAATAGCTTATTTCTTCCTTCTCGTTGGTGACTAAATATTTCCTTGGCCTGCTGGTGTCTTGACAGGAAGCCTGGAGGAAGTACACAAGAATAGATGATACATTGTCCACCGAGCAGGGTTACTCTGAATTGTGAGGAGATGGCTGACCTTGACGTTAGACCTTCTCCAGTTAACTTGCCCATACTCCTTCTTGTTGCCAGCACAAGCTGACTCATTATCGGCCTGGTCAGCTGAAAAAGCCCACGCATACTGTAAGATAACATTTCATCTGTGTCTGCGTGGCTCTTTCATTTTCCTCTATCTGAAATATCTGAAACCAGGCACCGAGTGTTTATTTAAGGAAGGGTGTGAGAGAACAGCGTGATCCGTACCAGTGTCCATTTCCTTTGCTCCTGCCTCCCTGACAGGATGAGGGTTCTCAGAAAGAGAGTGTTTATAGGAAACTGGGGAGGAAAGGGAGAAAGAAATTAGATTGTCTTGATCTAATATGTTTGTCATTCCAGGGACGCGTGGTAGTATAAATCCATCCAAAGTCACAGGCCAGGTATTTTCTACATTCAACTTCCCCCTTTTCATATTTAGTATGTGCATTTCCTCCATTTTTTCCTGAACTTTTATTTTTAAGCCCTTCTGATAATAATATCCATTAGTCTCCTGGCAAAAAAGTACACCCCAAACTTAATGACTTGGGTTTAACTTTGCCAAGAGATGCTGAATTTATGACTCAGGACCTCAAGTTGATTGCAAAAACATCCCAAGTGTGTTCAGACCATGTGAATGGACATATGGGGATAGTTGGAGAAGGCGAAGAGAGACTTCCTACCATATCACATACATGTTGTATCTGACTACCAGACTCCTAGTGCCAGTGTTCAAAGTCTTTTCCTAAGACGCTCTCAGATTCTGTGGATAATTTTCTGCTGCAGGTCACATGAGTTTGTTTTCCACTCTTTTGCTTTAAGTTTTTTTCTTCCCCTTTTTTGCCTGGCTACAGAGTATGTCAATTTTCCAGAGCTAGCTTTCTCATTTACTCTAAAGGTACAATTTTAAACACATATACTTTGTTTTATAAGGCTTTACTACTAGTCA